ACCAACCTCATGGCCTCGTATAGCAGAGGCGGGAGAAAGGGGCCGTTTGCCGGCTACCACGTCCTGATCAAACCTGGCGGCCGAAGCTTCTTTGCAGCGGGCCGGTGGCAGCCGGAAAAGGAAGATCTCGCTTCCATTCGCCAGCATATCCTCGAGAATACCGATCAAGCACAAGCTCTGCGCCAAGCAGTGGAAGAACCCAGCTTCGTCAAGTGGTTTGGTCCGCCTAAACTCAACGCTGACTCTCAAACCAAAGCCAAAGCCAAAGCCAAAGCCACAGCCAAAGCCAAGCCCGACCAACAACGATGCAATCTCTGGGGAGGCGATGACGAGCTCAAAGTGGCACCCAAGATCGCGGGTGTGGACAAGACACATCGCGACATCCACTGGCTCAAGCTGCGCAGCTTCTGCGTGATTCACACGTAAGTCTTTGCCTCACAACCTCCGAGCTAAGCTTTGGCACTGATCATGCTTTGTTGGGGAAGGCTAGTTTCACCGACGAGGAAGTTCTCAGCAAGCAGTTTCGAAAACGCCTCGTCGAGGCCGCCAAAGTGTCCGAACCACTGGTCACCATGTAAGTACCGCGCCTGGTCTCGAGTAGCGAAGGGTTAAGCTCACCAACTTTGTCGGAACCCTCTGCCCAGACTCAACTCGATAACCTCGCCGGATCCACCGTCCCCACCAGCTTCCGACGGAGAGCAAGCTTCGCAAGACGAGGAAAACGCCGAAGAAAGCGCCGCAGAAAGCGTCGAAGAAGACGACGACTAGAGCCGCTTGGCAAGCGTTGGAACATCTGGTGGTCCCTGGGCCCCGTTCGCAGACGAGATGTGGTAGACCCAGCTTCGATATAATGAGAGGCCGACCCGACATGTGCGCGTGTGCGTGCGTGATCTTGACTGGATGCGCTAGCCGTCTCTGGCTCCCTCTCCGGAATCGAACCCTTCGAACCCGTTACCCACGACTCTCTTTCAGGGATCGAGCCCTTGTTCCCCGTTATCCGTTGCAAGTGGTCGTCGTCGTCGTCGTCGTCGTCATGGTCGTTGTCGCTGTTGACGTGGTCGTGGTCGTGGTCGTGGTCGTTCTCGTCGTCGTCGTCGTCCATGTCACCGTTGTTGGAGACATCCGCATCGCTCAGACACATTCGTGCTGCTGCCGAGCATCGTGCCCGCCTCGCGCATCGTGCCCGCCTCGCGCATCGTGCCCGCCTCGCGCATCGTGCCCGCCTCGCGCATCCTGCTCTCCTTATCCATTGGGTCAGCTCTCCTCGTTCAGACGGTCTGCTGGCTTCGTTTGTACGTCGCTGGTGCTGGCGGAAGAGGTTGCGCATTCTTAGTATGTTACAAAAGATCGGAGGAGGTGGGGCGTCTAGAGCTGGACGGTGCGTGCGCCGTCGCGGTCGATGACGCGCACCGTAAACTGGCCGAGGTCGACGATGAAGCGCTGCTTGAGCTCGTTGATGCACCTCCTGAGCAAGTCGAGGCCCTCCTCGAGCGACATGTCGGGGCGGTGGTAGCGGTCGAGTGTCGACATGGCAAAGAAGGCGCCATATCCATGCGCTGCAAACGGCACAGTCGCCATGGTGCCCAGGTAGTCGATCCAGTACAGCGCCGGTTCGGACGTGGGCAGATCAAACCCGCCCAACAGCAGGTTCACCTGGTACGGACTGCGCGATCTCAACGACTCGGCAAGCTGCTTTCGAATCCATGCCGCCGCCGACCTGGGCCTCAATTCAACATGATGCCTGTTCCAAAAGCCTAGAGTCAGTCACAATGCTCGAAAGCGCTCGGTGTCGAAGGATGCGCAAGGCTTACCTGATGCTGTAGAGTCTGGTGTTGCGTTCAATGTACTCGGAGAACTGCAGCGTGTCGCCCGGCTCGCCCGAAAACGTCATGACGAGGTGGTCGCTCAGCACCTTTTGCTTGTCCACGTCCGACTTCATCTTGACGATCGAGCGCGCCGCATTCGAGTCCGATGCGATGATCGTGTACCCCTTGCCCGTGATTCCGAACGAGCACTCCATCTTGGCTTACGTTGTCAGTGCGGGGAGCCGAGTGGACGGTGGAAGCTTGAGAGCGAGTGCGGGAGTCGATGCGCTGCGGTGCGGCGATGAGCTGAGGCTGAATCTGGTCGATATGCGACGGTGCGATGCTATGCGTGGTTCGAAGGTCGAGGTGGATGACGAGGAAGGAGCGACCAGATGTGGGAGTGAGGAGGATGAGGATGTCGAGTGGAGCAGCGAGAGGATGCGTAACCGGCGAAAGTGGCACTTGCGCAACCCGCAGCCGCCTCAGCCTGGGCGGCCCGCCTGTCATTCTACGCGTGTTGCGAAGCCAATGTGGAGTGATCGACTCGCCGTGTGCAGGCTTGGATTTTCCAGCTTCCGAGGTTTTGAAAATGCGTTTTGGGGGAAATCAGAGTCTAACACTATGAATTTGCGCTCACGCGTCTTGGACGCGCCGGCTCGACGCTGAGCTGCATCCTCGCAGCCCAAAAGCTTTTGGATGCAGGGCGCGCAGGGTGTTGATCTTGCCGCATCCACCTCATCCTCTTCATTCGACCTCCATCCGACATAGAACCGCGCCTGCTCACCTTCAAGCTGCACTGCCGATCATGCCTTCAGCACGGCTCTCCTCACAGGCCGCAACGGCATCCGCATCCGCTTCCGCACCCTCGACCGAAGCAGGCCCATCCACCATCCCCGCTACATCCTCATCATCCAAGACAGCCACCGCTGCCATCGCCGCCGACAAGAAGGAAGAAGCTTCCACAGACGCGCATCTGGAGCTGCTCACCGAGCACTTTGGCTACAACCCCAAGTCATTCATCGACGCGCTCGTGTACCTCTCCAACGAGCACCTGTACAGCATCGCGACCGAGTTCGAAAACGTCGTGGGCGGCCTGCTCGACAGCGTCGACGGTGGTGAGCTCGAGGCGGAGCAAGGAATCCATGCGATCCTCACGCTCATGGAGAACGCGCTGGACCACACCATGGACACGTTCGAGCTGTACTGCTTCCGCTCCGTCTTCGGTATCCGGCCGAGGCAGGCCAAGTACATGACGCTCGACCACCACCGGGGGCTCGATCTGCGGCCACAGCAACCGACTGCAGAGTACAAGGCCAGACCGAAGGGAGGGAGGAAAAGTGCGGTGGCATCAACGAATAGCGCAAGTGAGCGCAGCTACAAGCTCGGCGAAACAGAGGACTCGCTCAAACGCCAGATCGCCGCCGTAAGTACCCCCCAACCTCGCCTTTGAACGGGAGCCCAGACTGACTTTGATCGTTTCTTTGTTGCTAGGCGAGAGCGACGCAGCACAAGCTGCTTCTTGCGCAAGCGGCTTCGGAACAGACGCTCTCACGAATGCTGTCGCTATCGGAGCGATTCTCGTCGATCCTCGCACGCACCGATTCGGCGCCGGTGCTGAGCGAGACGCTCGGGCAGTATGCGCGGAAGCTACGTGCGGATACTGCGCCGCTTTTGCGATCGGTGGGCGAGTTGCGTGCTGCCGATCCGCTGGGTGCACCTCTGCACTCGCCCAGCGCTGTCGAGGCGGACGACGACGAAGGGGCGGCAGCGGACGTGCGTGCGTGGCAGCGCGGCAGAGAAGGATACCTCAACTGGGAGGCGGACAGAATCATCGCCAAGTCGAAGCGCAAGGATGCACCACCATCGGCGACGACAGCAGTGGTGGGGGAGAAGGAGCAGGATGAGAAGACGCCTAAGAAGAAGAGGATCGCGACTGCCACGCCCGCGTCCAAACGCAGGACACCAGCATCCACACGCCGCGCCTAGCACCGCTTACCGTCAGTTTGCAGGCAATGCATCAGTGAATACGCTTCGGAACGCAGCCCGCACAAGAGCGTGCCTCTCCAGCAACTGTTAGCTGAGAGAACGGGCGAGGCGCTACCAACACTGCGGGCGAGATTCAGAATGCCGATTTAGCACCCCGAACGACAGCTGCTGTTCATTCTTTGATCGCACGATGTTGGGATACCTGGTGCAAGCGAGATGTCACTCCGAGCGCATGTCATGATGATGGCTAGGTCAAGCGAGATGTCACACCGAGTCTGATGGCGACGGTTGAGTGGAATGCATGCGCCAACAATACGGAGTCGATCGTGATACCGACATGCGACCTACTCGCCACCTTGCGCTCTGGTGGAGGGGAAACGCAGACGTTGGCCGAGGAATCAATCGCACCATCAAATCGCTTGCATCTCTACAGCCCGCTTTTGAAAAGCTGGAGTCGAGCATGCCGAGAACAGACGCAGGGGCTACGCAGAGAGATCACGATGCTTGAATCTTCTGTCACAGCACGGCGACTCTCGGAGCCGTTCTTGCACGCAACCGCGCGCGTGCGAGATCCGCCGCCGCTTCGACGAGGTGAATCGCCTTGTCGCGTCGCTAGCCGTCGGCCCATGCTGTTTTTTCTCTTTTCTATTGCAGGCGTTTGAAGATGCCACGCCGAGCAGCGGTGAGAGGAACGAGGAAGCTCGTCCGTCCCGGATCGGTTCGGCTCAGCTGCGGATGGTCTTGGCGTTTAGGCAGAGGTGGTGTGAGGGTAGCGCACAAGTGGTGTGACAGTAGCGAGAAGCTTTTCAGCACAAAGTCACAACTCGTGTCTCTCGCCGAAATGAGGAAATCAGGCTTGTGGTCCGGCAACCTTGCCACTGCTGCGTACAGGCTGCATTGACGCACCTTGCATTGCGCAGCTTTGCTGTTGCTGATGATGCTTGCGCAAGACCGTGCGCAAGGGCACACCTCGGGAGTCGAGAGGGCGAAAAGCTGCGCACCGTTGCCGCAAAGTGCGCAACAGCTGAGTCGCAGCACCGAGCACGTCTGGACACCATTCTGTATGTGCTCGTGTCGAGTCGCCCGTTTCCTCGTTCCCTCGTTCCCTTTTCCTGTACCACCATCACTCCGCTCCCTCCTCA